CCGTGCTTCTATCGTTATCTCGTGTAGTAGTCATTTTTTATGTTCTACTCGACTCCCTAAATTAACCGTGTATGTTTACGTGTAAACCGTCAAGCCCACCTTGGCACGAGTTGGATTTATTGGATGAATTCACATTGGGCTTTTTCGTCGAGAATATTGGTCAATGTGAGGAAGGGTCGACCTATCTAGGGGGATGACAGGCACATTTGACATGGGGTTGGAGCCTTGGAGGCATGGAGCCATAACTTTATCAAACTTATAAGACGATTATCTATATATTTCGTAGGATCTACCACAACATTTAACCTACAAAAAGTTTTACCGAACATGATGGAATTGGAAGTTGACATATACTCTTGTTATTTCAAAGAAAGAATGTTTACAATAACTACAAGAATGATATACTATGCTACACAATTGACAAGTCTAACTCTCTATAATGCACCCAAATGAGAGTGAAAAATACTTAACCTCAAAGAACCTAAAATTTATACAATGTGATCAAAATCAGAGGTACCCTTTGGAGCCTCTGGATTGGTAGAGTTCCAATCTCTTTTTCCCTTCAAAAACTAAGTTTTCGATCATCGAATCCTGCATCAGATGATTCTGCTTCGTCGCCCATTCCAACACGATGAGCACGTCTTCTTTAGCTAACGCCTCGCTATCTGGTACATGCAATGCAAGGTAACATAGTAATATAAATGAAGGAATTTGTACCATTTGCTCACCAAAGTATATCAATGGAATTAGGTGCTTAGCACCTCCTGCATCAATTATGGCCTTAGAATGATAGACATGGAGAAAATTATCCGTGCACGCGAACTTGCTCAACGCAATTGCTGCCTCATTTGTAACCTCGGGTTCCCTATCGTCGAGGAGCTGCACTAATGGCCCAATGATTCTTGTTTCAGTTGCTCGAAAAGTTCTAGCCAAATTCCCAATGGATATGATACTTGGAATGAGGAGTTCCGAGTCTGCTTTTTTGATGATTCGTAAGAACTGATCGACTACTGCTTTAGCAGCCGGTGAAGTAGGTTTAAAAGCTGAACGTCTCAATTCTGGATTTTGCTCGGCTACTGCAGTAATCTCCATCAATGCCATGGCTGAATTGTATTGAACTTCATCAGGGCCTTTCTCCAACAAAACGGCAAAGCATAAAAGTGCACGGGATTCAGTTATACTATGACAAATAGTATTGTTCCCTGCACAAAGGTGTCTCAGGGCCCTAGCAGCCATGGCCTTCATTTCTGCCTTAGTAGCAGGGTCTTCAAATTCCCTACCCTTAATGCTAGTTCCTGTCAATGCAACTTGGTGCCTCTGCTGCTGCACGTGATTTTGATTAATTTTTGTGTTCTTATGATTCGCCTTGGGATTGTTCGCTTGAGTCTGGACGTGCCCTTTTGAGGGCACATTCGACTTCATAGACATAGTATTCGCCACAATATTGTGCATTTGGCTTGTCGTGTCATTCCCTGTAGGATGAGAAATCGTGCTATGAAACTCATCATCGTTCCTATTACTACTCGTCAGGTCATTCGACATGGAATCAGAGTTGGCCATAACGACGGTGTGAATCGACATGGCTTGCTTGTTGCTTGCAATTGCGTACTTACTATGTTCTTGAATCGTCTCAAATGCTAGATGACTAACAAGCAATCTTATTGTATTATTCTGAGCGAAATGATCCTGGCATTTCGGATGATGCGCAGCCAATTCCGACACAGCCCAAGCCACCACAACTTGAACTTTCATATGCCCTTCTTTGAGAATTTTAGCAAAAACTGAACAAACACCAGCATTGACAATGGGTTCTACACTTTCAGGGTCCCTGCCTAATAGCCCTATTGCCCTTGCAGCATTTTCTTGAGCCTCCATTCTACCTTCCTTAGCCAATTTCAACAATGGTGCAACCCCACCTTCTTCAATGATCAATTTACCGTACCTATCATTGTCACGAGCCAGCGAAACAAGCGAAGCAGCCGCGTCAGAGCGTTCTTCTAACGAACCCGAACACAAAATCGCAATCTGTTCCCAAATCAAGCACAAAATCGGCTCGTTTGCCGCGATCGGTGGCAGCCCGAGATACTCATCGTCGCGATCGTCGGCCGGGGTCGAGACTCGAAGAAGCCACGAAACATCACCAATGGAATTTTCTAATTGTTGAGAGGTTTTTCTGAATGCTGCTGTGGGGATGATTGTGAAAACCCTTCGCAATCCATTGGCCCGGCACTTGAACACGAGGGTTAAGGCCTTATCGAGTACTTGTTCAGTATCGTCGATAATCCGCCGGGTCGGGCGCTCGTACAGGTCGCCGCTGGCACGGGCGGCTTGCCGGAGAAGCCCTGCGAGTTTCTCGGTTTTCAACTTTATTTCGAGGCATTCCTGTCGGAAAGAACTGGTGTCTCCAGAGGCTTTTATCACCTGATCGGCTAATTGAATTGGTTTTGCTAAGATTTGCTTCACTATGTCCGCCATGAATGATCACATTAGCGGACCCTTCTCCTCAAAACGAATACAAAACCAAAAAAAATCAACAAAAATGAAAAATAGTTTATTGTACAACTTTGTATGCTTTAATTCAGGAAATTTTTATTGGTCTGATGAAATGGGGAAGCTACATAATCTGGGTTTTTGTTTAGAGTTTAGAATAATGCATAGGTATTTGCATGTAGGAGGAGGTGGCGGTGATGGTGGCGTTGCCAACGGCCGCAGCGGTGGCGGGATTAAGAATTGTTATTTTAAAAAAAAAAAAAATTGTTTAGAGAATCATTATGGGAATGGTGAAACGCAAATGTCTCTTATAGTAACCTTATTTACAGGAAGAGGAACTGCAATGGTTGGTTTATAATTGGGAAATTGAAGTATTAGTCCTCAATCTATTCACCTGGTGACAAATAGGTCCCCTAGTCTATTTTTTTAATTGCAATGGGCTAGCAAAATGAATACTTAACAAATTTTGTACCATCACCATCCCCCATTCCACGCCCCCTTTCTTTAATTGCAATGGGCTAGCAACACTAGTACCATCACCCTTTATCTTCCAATGAAGAAAAGCATGTGGTTGTACAAATTAGATAGCTCTCGGTTCACCATGACTCGTAACACCAATCCTAAAACAAATATCATAAATTTACAGAAGATTCGAAATTCCAATTTTGTATAAGTTTTGCTTATCTTGTTGTTTGTTTAAATAGTTATACATCACTTTATTTTAAAGGTAAGCGCAATTAAAGGATTGTCAATGTGCCTTTGTTTGATAGGTGACAATCAAGCTGTTCAACAAAACAAGGCGCCTCAATATTGAATGTTCTTTTTGTAGTTTGATTGGAATATTTAACTCGTTTCTCAATTTTAAGACATTACTTCAGAAAAAATTGGTTAATATTTGAAATTCATGATGTTCTAAAGATGATGGAAATAACACTCTGTAAGCAATCAATGCCATAATTTTATTATTTTAATCATATTTTTATGTGGGTGATATGATATTTCCTTTTATCGATGTCTCTTTGCTCTCCGAAGTCCAAAGAATAACCATTTACAAGGTTGATTTGGGGAACTACTCAAGGAGATGAGATAGGGTTTGACGTTGGGAAGGTAATGACACTTCTCTTTTCTTGCATCACTTACTAATCATATTAAGGGTTCAATCTTTACTTATTGTCACATTTATGTCCTCACTTTTTTTGTCGCGTTTATATCTTCAAGCTTATGTTGGTTAACATATTTGACCCGTAATTATAGTTATTATCCATTAATTTACAATTGCCTCAAAAGTTTTGCCCCTAATCAAAGGTGGCGTGCGAGCCTCGTGTATATTTAATGGCATTTTCGAAGGTTCAGTCAATTGGAGACCATGGTATCACATAAATGATAGGTTGAGGTTTGAATGTAAAAAAATAGCTTGAGGACTTGTTTGCTACTAAGTAAATAGGCTTGGGATCAATGCTATAGTTTACCCTTTCTAAAATAACAGCAGGCCTTCGAAGTGGGCTCACTTCGAAGGCCCAAAAACCAATTTTATTAGGGCCCGAACACCATTGAACAAACTTTAATGGGCCCCAAAACCCAATTTTATTAGGGCCCGAACACTATTGAACAAGAATGCAACATGTTTGATACGTTAGACTTGATATTAAAAAAATAGATATTTCCTCTCCATCTGCGAGTGGGCGTTGTCAATTTTTATGGAGACTTCAAGCATAAATATTTTTCTCTAATTAATCATTTGCAATGTTGTCTAATCCATCTAGAACAATGTCAAAGTAAGAACAATATGAAATTCATCACCTAAATGTTTAGAATAATGCTATATATATCATTATAATAATTGAGTATTGGTGATGTAATAATTTAGGTAAAATAATGGGATATGACGATTCAAACCCAATTTCTCTCATGAAAATTGAAATGTCATATCATATTATTCCACCTAAACTGCTACATCACTATGTTTTGTCATTATAATGATAAATAACATTATTCAAATGTTTATTATCAATCTAAATACTCATTCCATCCCATTTATATAGACTAATTTTATTTTTCACACGAATTATGAAATCTTATTAATGTTATTGAAAAACAATTTTTGCCAAAAACTTTCATAATTTTCCATTATTTAATTATCAACAACTAGTTGTAAATTATTGTTAAAAATAGTAAAGAAATTGAATTTGGATGATTTCAAGAAGTGCGGATCTTTATATTTGTACGATTTCAAGATTAGTGGGAAAAATTGGTTATAACTACGCAAATTAAATAATGATATATTAGTAAAGAAATAAAACAAAAAATTTTCAATAAAGAAACAACATTATATAATCGAGACAAGAAAATTCAGCTTATATAAATGGGATGGAAGTAGTATATGTTTACATAAATTCTGTTACAAGGATTCTATAATAAATGTCATAAATCGTAACAAACACCTGTGAGAAGACTACTTATATCCTTCCTTTTAACTTTTATACGAAGGAATGCCAGAGAATGTCAGCTTCTCATATTAACAACCATAGACCACAATAGCCAGCCATACTGCACGACCTTCGTCTACATGTGGTCGAATCAACACCACAGTCCTCATCCGCAAAACATCTATGATCAGCACTAGTGTCCGCGATATGACAAGCACTCTCGACTGACTCATTCTTAGCATCAGGACAGATTTGCAATGACATTGCACTAGATCGTTTTGGTTGCTCTTCACTCTGCACATATGAACAATTTCAATGTCAACTAGGAAAACTTAGATTTATAAGCACTTTCAACAAGTTCAAATTGTAAAAATTGAATAGTACGTTAAGTCGTATTTCTCATTATTTAGAGCAAAAACCGAATTTGAATAGTATATTGAATCTAAAATCCCTTTATTCTTTTAGAAAAAGTTGGCAAGAAAAAAGGATATTTGAAAAATAACTTGGATAGTTTGGCCCTATGTCTATTTAGCCCCTGTTTGACAAACATTTTTTCAAGGATTAAGTCATTTGTACACTCATTTTTACACCATCGTTGACATTTGCATTGTTGCCAACAAATAATTGGATGAAAAAACTATTATTTTTTTTAAAATTGTCTAATTGGATAATGCCATGTGGCAAAGTGTAAACAATGGTGTACACCATTATGTACACGAATCATGATTGTTTTTTCGAACTCTTTTTTCTACCTACTCATTTTCAACCAAACATTCAAATAATAAAATATTCTACACATAAACCCAAAACTATTTCCTACTTTTTAACCACTCACTCCTAAAGTTCACTATTCAAAACTCCATTTTCCACAAAAAAAGGGTTGTCAAATAGGGGCTTAAAATGAGGTGAATAAACATGATCCAATTGAAATTTATTCAAAGCAAACAAGGAGAACAAGCAGAAGACGGCAAGGTAGTTGAGACGATAAATAAGGTAGTTGAATAGAAATGCAGGGGGGATTATAAGGATCACCTTAATGGATGTAAAGTTACTAAGAATATAAGCCTCGGGAAGCTTCTCGTGCCAAGAGCTTAAAACAGGCAGTGGGTGACCTTCAGTTGTGAATATGTAGTTTTGATTGGCCAAGAATGAATCGTTGAAGAGAAGATACAGGTACTTGCACCTACAGGAACGGAACAAAAGTACCTCAGGTAAACTTCACAACATGTTTATATACTATTATGGCCGCAGAACAAGCAGTAAGCAGGATTAATCAGAACAATATCATTGATATGTATGGTCATATAGCAGAGAACGGAAGAAATGTACGTTTCAGAGAGGAAGAAACTATGCTGATGATCTTCCAACTCCATATTTGTCACATCTCGAATGCTCGCATAACCACCTTCGACTCGTGTATATAAATTGAGAGAGTCCACAATTGACTCGCCAACCTCTAAATACCATGGATCTGACAGCAATTAAAGTAAAGGTCAAAGGACTGAACCAGAGATAAATATTCATCCACAACTCAAATTGCATAATATTTTCAAATGAAGGACTTGGTGTAAATTTTTAAGATTGAAAGCACCCCAATCGAGACTGGCCGTGCTGAGACAATTGAAGTTGAAACGTTTGCATATTGTTGCTAATGACTTTTCCCCACCTGTACCCGAGTGCTGGGGAAAGGCGAAAATGGAAGAACGAAAAGAAAATTTTATAGCCAAAAAGACTGGAGAAAAGGCTGTTTTCATTTACCCGCATCAAATTTCCCAAGAAATATTATAAAACATAACCTCTTAATATTCTATATTGTTGTTTTACGTCTTGCGCATGTTTGGCAAAGCTTATAATTACTTATAAGTTGATCAAACTCTATTTTTATCCACACAATCAGTAGGACCCACAGCTTTACCTATTTTTAGCCACTTATTATTAACACATTTCATAGGACGCACAACTTATAATCTAATAAAAGCTTCGACCAAGGACGGCTTTTGTAAGCAAGAGGATTTGGAACATTAATACAAACAACGGTTTGCAACTCAAAGACCACAAAACATTATTCTTGTTTACACGGAAACCAAAAGTGGGTGTCTGGGGTCTTAACATTTATCACCAGAACTTAATGTGACACCACTTGCATCATAATGTTACCTGGACATTACACATTTTAAGGCCAACTCTTCATGTGTACATCAAGCCAAGGCATGAAAATTTTCAAATTCCAATATAGTTTAATACAATCTCCACAAACCTTTGGTTGCTTGATATAGGTAAAATGTTGACTCTGCCAACTCTGGGCGTAAAGGATAGTACTTTTCTGTAGGATGCAGCATCTGATGATCAAGGAGGTACCTTCAAGATTAAAAAATTTATGCATCAGTATCTCCTCGAGGCATGTTTATGTAGTTATATAAAATATTTTACAAGAAATATAAACCCACTATAACAAAGTCCAAGTAGTCGCTCAAAATTAACATGGCCCAACGTGTTTGCATAAGATTTGGTTTGATTTAATTGGGCCTTTTAGTTGAGAACTCTGAAAAGACAGAATGTCAAAAAAGGAATTCGTGTAGCCTACCCCAAGTTAATTTAAAATTAGTCTCAGCTTGTTATTATTGTCGTATCAAGTTGGATATTAATGGCAAAGCTAGCATCAACGATTGCAATATAGCAGGAAAGTCAGTACTAGCTATTTAACCATAAGAGAAGCAGACCACACGAAAAAACAAACATTTTACCTCTCAGGAAGTACTCCAAATTTATTCCATACATGAACAAATTCACGGTGTGATGAGTTAGCAGCTGCAATGTCCCCAACAAGAACCTGACTGCCATAACAATAATGAAAAGAACCCTTCCCCATTCAATTTGATAGACGGAAAACGTGTTATAGTTACCAAAGTTCACCTGCAGGCCAGGCCAAAATGCCTGAAGGCTTGTAAGTTGCCAAAATGTTGCTCTTCCTGTCCTCATGTCAGCTTCATGGTACCTGTACAACAAATTATATACGTTTGTAACTTCAGATTTGATAGCACTCCACGTCAGGCATTCCAAAGGATATTCCGACCATTTCTAAAGCTTTGAATAATTGAATAAAAAGGAACGGTTGGGATTAAAACCTCCCTCTTCAACCAATCCCCCTCAAAAAAGGGTAAGGAGAAGGAAGAAAAGAAGGGTGAAAAACTTGGGACTTTCTGATTATCTTTTGCGAACTGTGGACTAGGTGAAAGGAATATTTTACAAACAAGAATGAAGAAATATATTAAGCACAATGGAAATCATAATTTTATAGAATTTTAAGCATAATACCATGGGCCATGTCTAAAATGTTTTTGCACAGCAAGGTAAGCCAACTGAAACATCCTCCAGAACTCTTCTCTTCCGAATAGAATGTGACCTTTAATTAGATACTCATAAAACGAATCAACCCCTGGAAAAAAAACAATAGAGAGACAGCATAAGAGATTATACAAAGCGCACAGGCACAGCAGAAGATGATTCCATTCAATTAATGCAACTTGAGAAGCTAGAATATAATAAATTCTCAATACAAAAAATTGAAAAGAAAAGAAAAATCATTCACAGGAAAAAAAAAAGTACGTAGCAGTCTTAATAATTGTTTGCACAATCAAGCAGTTTTCAAAAAAATAAAAGATAAAATCTAGCAACAAAACAATACCAGCCCCGATTCCAGATGAGTGCTCTATCCATTCCCCAGTTTCTACATCCAGTGTAGTTCCCAAAAGATTCAATGAACTCCTCATGCTCCATAACTTACGAAGAGCACGTAAAGCAGCATTTTCAAATCTTGGGTCGCTGGTTAAGCGTGACAATGCCCCCATTTCAAGAATCAGAGAACCTAAATCCAGATTGGAGAAACTTGGACAGCATCAGAATATAAACATGGTCACAAAAAAAAAAAAGCATGAGTGTTGTGTTTGTGTGGGAGTGTGCATATAAGGCAGAGAGAAATTTCCCCACCACAACCAGATGTGCTTGTTTCGGTTATCTCGTTCTCCATCACTCCATACTATCACGACAGAATTTTACATTGGTTTAGTGTCAAATGTCTATTACAAACAATACAGATGCACCATATCCATACTGAAGATAATATAATAAATAAATAAATAACTAAAAAATAAAATTATGAAAAGGACTATTTATCATGGCATAACAGTAATCCTTGCATCATTATATCATATAAGTGTCATTTATCATGCATCTTAGACCTAAAACTTATTCAATACAACCAACGTTCACAAATTACGTGGAATGGCATCAAGTGGAACTTACCTATTTTTTCATAGTTCCTATTATCTTTCAGGTTAAAGACGCTCGGGACAACAGAATTGTGAATAACCCACAAACCAGAGCACATTTTTCCACGGCTATGTCCCGAACTTCAGCAGCTAGGTGAAACCAGCAATAGGGGCACGGAAAACCTATCTATTTAATCTCTTCCAACTAATTATACAAGTATATTGCTATAACTCACTTTGTTGCACGATTTTTATGGTACTCTAAAGTGATATAATTTATACCTGAACTAGTTACTGCAAATTCTATTAAGGTTTATTTTACACAAACTTCAAGTAATACCTTCAAATTGATCCATGCATAAGGCAGACCAGTGGGGGTATCAAAAGCAGGTAAAAACCGTTGCCCCAAATCCTCAGCAAGATCTAGAAGCTGATTTTCATAAGTTCCTTTCTTCAATCTGTTTGTAGAATCAGTTGCAAGAATATGAGCAGAAACAAGCCCTCCAAGTACTCTTATGTTGCACTACAGATAGAGTTCAAGGGAAAGAAAGTAATTACACACTCCAATAAAACTTTACCAGGAATACAGAACATTGTTAATATGGTCACTACCCAGTACACTTGATGAAGTTTCAACCAATGAATTTAATAAATAATTTGAATTACAAAATAAAGTATTTATACATTACCTCGAAAAGATTTATCCTCGCGTCAACATCAAATGTCAGATTTTCAGATAGCCAAAGAACTGCCCTTGCAAACTCAGTGTGATTACCCAAGATTACTAGGCTGAGAGAGAAAGAAAGTTGGTCCACCATTGTGTTCCAAGGCCGTGAGACACACAGATAAGCTAATGATTCTCATGCAGAAAAGAAAGATAAAATCTTTAAACAGGTTGGCCACTTCTGCTATCTCAACCTCAAAAGAAAAGAAATATCAAACCTGGATAGTGATTCAATAAGCGAGAGGGCAGATCCATTATACTCCTGTGGTAGATGCTCAAGCTAAAATTCAAGAGAACAGAGGGTTAGTGATCTGCCTTTAGCTAATCACAAAACTTCTCCAGACAAAATACTTACCTTCAAATTTCCAAGTTCACTAAGAGAATCTGTGTAAGTTTTTGTTAGAGGCTTTAATTCATCGTGCTGCAAAACAATCAGATTGAATGAGTATTTGATTTGTTATTTTGGATGAACAGTATAAATGGACATCATTGAATAAAAAGACTTACTGGGAAAGCATGCATTATGTAGTTGTCATAAGCATGGTAAAACCTGACATGGAGAGATAACAAGTCAATTATACACATTCCATTTATATTGGAGGAGTTTGCTAGTTAATTTGTTCCTTTCTAGCTCCTTCCCTTTACTGGCCTTCTTTTTCGCATTTGCAAAAATGCAATTCCATAAAGATACAACTAACATAGTCGACACTCTTGTAGATAATATTTTATTTCTTCATAATCACTTTGAAACAATAAAATTTCCAAGAACAAACTCCGTTCCACCTCTTAAAGCTCAGTGTCGTTTCCCAAGAAAATAATTATTCCGAAAGATCTCCTTTTGCAGCAACACATGATTACTTTTAAGGGAAATGAATATGCCTAAGAACGTAATTATTCGAATAACACATAATTATCAACCAATGGGATCCTCTAGTTAAAAGGACATAAGAAGTTTTCTGGAAAAAAATTGCTTTGCAATGTACACTGCAGAAGCAAAGGGCAAGCTTGATGCATTGCTTGGACCTATTCTGAACTATATATGTGCCTCTTGTGTATGAACCAAGACATGTATAAACTTTGCGTGTATGTCTTTTTGTATATCAGATAGAATTAACACGAAAACTTTTCATAAATTGTAATCTTACTAATAGAAGGATGAATGCATTCTACTAGTTGTATGGCAAAGATCAGGAGCGGAAAGGATGCAGCTTTGAAAATTGTGTTTTAATATTTAGGTTTTTTTTTTTGCCAAAAATGGTACAGAATGAGAGCAACCAGTAAGGAGGACCCCAGCTTATACAGAAATTTGTTAAAGATTAGGTCTGTCCTTACCTTCCAATCAATAACTGTGTTAGAGTGGAACACATAAAACAAACGACCTTGATGCCTACTATACTCTTCATATATGGAAATGCAATTGACATCAAAATGAATAACAATCAAATATACACAAGCCTAGAAAGTAATGTAATAAGTATTTCATCTGTTAACCCTAATAGTCTAATACTGTAAACTGCTATTTGGAAAGCCAAAAGGTATCAAACCTTACATTCAAGAAATACATACAACCTCATAGAATATTTTGTTCAAAGTTAATTACAAATTTTAGTACAGGATGCCTCAAAACCACCAACCTGAAATATCTAGGTTTGAAAACAAGGATTCAAACATTAGTAAAGGCATAGTGACAGTTGAGATATAGTAAGAGTGGTCACATTACATTTCTTATTCCCATTCACGACCTTTAAATAAAAACTAAACATGAAAATTTAATAAAATTTACATGAATAAACAAGAGAAACTACATATCAGGGAGGGAACCTACAATTCTGAGGTAGTGACTAGCAGCAAACAAATCAGTTGCTATTGGACTTTGAAAAAGATGCAAATGGCAAAGGCTTACCAATTTCAATGCCGAAGCTTAAATTCTCTAGACTTATCAACAGACTCAAGCCAGAGATCAAGAGGCCATGGTATTTCAGTACCTATGTGCAGTATGCATATATTCCAGATACACAGTTCAAGACAATTTTATTAAAGGTCTCGTTTTTCAAACAACCCAACGCTAAAATGAGTTAATGGCATGATATTTCTATGTGGGTCACTAGAATTCAGCAATTGTGTCAAATTACTCAATGCAGCAAGTCAATCAATTTAACTTATGATAAAATCATCATCATGGAGACCCAATGGTACATAAATACACAGAGATTATGCCAAGCAATTTGCAATAAATAGAAGTAAATCAATTTAAATTTGGCAAGAATTACGAAATGGGATTTAAGTAAATAAACTCCAGAATTGAGCATTACATCTTGCGAACTTTCTCACTCATACGTTTCTTCTTAACTGAATAAGGGTCCAGTTTCGACACGGAGTTGTAGATAAACATGCTTGAAATAATCACCAGAAACATTAAAACCCATGTCCCTCTGCTTCCGGACGACATGGATTAACAATATACGCATGTACACGGTCTCGGATAATTCGAGAACTGAAGGGGCCAGAGGAAATGGGGTTTTGAGATCTGGGTCTAGTTTGACTAGGAGACAGCAGATAGGATCAAAATTCTCAAAATCTTTTGTGTAGTAATTGTAAATTATGGTGAATTTTTAGGGGTGGCCAAAAACCCATATAGTGAAAAATGTTCACTAGTGATGAATCCTAGCGGTAAACATTATTATTATTATTATTTGTAGATTAGAAAAAATAATGATAACTTTAGATGGTAATAGTTTAAACCTGTTAGATTTTATAGATAAATACCTATTTTTTAGCAAGTAATTAAAATCGATCAATCACTCTAAACCATCAAGATAAACTAGCTACATTGCTGAAAGATGAAATATGATATAGGCTCGACTATTTGTATGATCTCCCTTGACAACTACAAATGTACCACGGAGGTTGTCAACTTAGACCACCATTCAAATTCAATGTTCTCTCATATTTAGCGTCAGTCTGGGAGAGCTTATTCCCTAATTTTAGCAATTAATTGACCGTTAGTCACTTGAACACGGATCCCGTTGAGGCAGCAATTTTTGACATTCTAAAAATGAAATATCAAAAATGCATGTCTATCATGAAAAATGAATTAAATATTAAGGGTAAAAAAGTCATTCTGCATTAAAATGGTCTAAAATTGCGGTTGCCATGTCTGACATTCTGCTTTAAAGTAATCTTGACAATGAAAAGCAATGGTCACAATCTAGCTACAAATCAGAGAAAAAGCTTTCCCAGCCTTATTTATTCATCATAATTAAATTGATATGATGTGAGCTCGACTAGCTGTCTAACCTTCCTTGGCAAGTGTGAATATTCAATGGAAGGCGTCAACTAAAACTAAGGAAACACACAATATTGATCAAGTACTAACTCGTTTAAGTATAATTTACATATTTTACGCTATGTCGTGCCTAAGATTTGATCATCTTGATTGCCTACCAACTTGTCCGAGTACTAGTAATGTGTGAATTTGAATTTTCTATCTTGTCTAATTAAAGCATGTTTGGTCATTTAAATTTCTCATTGTAAAATATATATTCTAAGTTACCTTTTGTGTTGTACAGTGAAACTATAATGAAACTTTAGGCATTCACTTGGAGAATAATTTAATTCAAAGTAACCTAATCGTTTTTTCTTCTTGTTTTACATTTTCTGAGACTCGTCTGTATACAAACGTAGTATGACAATTTGACTTTGCAAGCCGAGAACATGTGAGCACGCTCAACTTTCTATAGACTTTGCATATCATATCATTAATTTTACACTAAATACAAATAGAGTGAGTTTTAATCAATGTTTTAAAAAACATAAAGTTTGGTGGGATGTGCAGGTTAAGTTTCAAACTAGGTGAGCCTAGATGTAAAAAGAATAATAATAATAATAATATTTTAAATTTTTTAATAAATCTGAAAATTATTTAATAATTAAAAATAATACCTATCAAATATATAAATTTTATAAAATACTACATTGAAAAAGAAAAGGAAAGGAAAAAAAGCACGAGGAGGGCATTTTGCATCTGCTTCGCACCTAACACTTGACACCGCTTTCTAGAACAACGATTTCAAAATCTTGTTGATAACATGCCAATTAAAGGAACTTTAAAAGTAGATAATTAGATGAGCATGCCCACCAATTGGAATCTACAACTAAAGTTGGACAAGTTTAACTTTACAGCCGCAAAGATGGATTCGTAGAAAAGTATACCTTTTTTTCTCCTTGAATTTAAACCCTCCATCCACATCTTCATTCAAATCACAAATAGTTTTCTAGGAATCAAGATCATATGGAATCAAACAAGGATATACTGGGATAAAATCAATTCACTACTTTAAATTCAAGATTGTCGAATTAAGTTCACGTCAATCTTTAGGACGATCCTTAACGGCGCGTCGGTGTGCTAGATTGTACAACAAATGAGAAACTGAAATTGAGATCTTGTAGTATTACGTATTAAACATGCCCTTAAGACAACACGCCCTCTAATCTTAAGACGAGATAACACGGAATGAACCTATACAAAAACTAGTGTCTGCAATAAGCTAATAGAGGGCAAGGATTGTTGTCGCTTTCCTTTTTCTGCCTACCAACTTTCCTGTTAGAGCATGATTGACAGGCCTTGCCGTGAGTGTACAAAAGACAATTGAGGTCAAATTTCAGTTCGGCCGGAATCCGATGATTGAGATGGATATATGTCCTTTTTATATCTGCAACAGCCGGTGTCCATCCCATAGTCTTGGCTATTTGAAAAATCTGTACGAGTACTTGAGAGATTAAGCAGTTTAAAATAAAACAATACTCGTACATGTTCCTTGATGGAAAAAAAATTAAGAAATAAATAGATTTAAATAAGTCGCTCACATGTGTGTCCACGGGGAGATCATCATGCTGGAGATGAAACATCAAGACACATGCCACCTGCCAATTATTTCAGATAATTGATTTCATAACCTCGGCAAGATTTCTAACAAGCATTTAGCAGATACGATAACTTAAGTGAATTCTTTGAGAAATTGCTTTATGACTGAGTTTTTATACTGTGATACACAAACCCACAAGAAAAATGTGAGGAAAGGGAGAAAAAAGAATCAACTACTAACGAGATAGCAGACGGGAAAGAACATACTGCATTCAAAGAGCACCTTGGAACGTGTTTTTTTTTTTCGAAAGGTGAGCACCTTGGAACATGTAAACAAGTTTTAGACTGAAATTAGGATTAAAAAGAGTTTAACCACTCATTCAATGGAAGTGACCAACCCAAACAACGATACATGTTAGCCAGTGCGCACAATACCCACCAAAACCAATCAGTATTGCTAGCACTATCTAAACAACGTTTCCAAATTCTAGGATCTCAATTACTACAAAGTAATTATTCAAGAATGTATGGGTTTGTTTGGCACATCTTATTTGAAATCATTTTTTCTCGAACTCATTTTCAATCACACATTCTCCAAAAAAAAAACATTTTTTACTTTCAAATACTCTCTCCTTGTAAACACTGGTGAGATTGCTACAGTCTGAGGCATTCTGAAGATACCAGTGCATTAGAATATTTTAATACCTGAGAAGTACTAATATCTATGACAAAACAAAAACAACAATCTTTTCTGCCAAGTTGATTAGCAGATGTTGCGGAAAAGTCGTATTCAAATGTACATATTGCACTCACAAATAATGATGAGACTTCTGTTAGATTGAATTGAATTTAAGGATTCCAGTAATTGAAGTTGTCGAAGTCTGAGGCATCATCCGCATAACCTATTACAGTATATTATGTAGTAATGCGACTACTCATATCAACAAATACCTAAGTATAATTCCACTCAACTGAGTAGAGGAATAATTCCACTCAATTGTGTTCTCATATCAACAAATACCTAAGTATAATTCCACTCAACTGAGTAGAGGAATAATTCCACTGAACTGAGTAAAGGAATCATAATAAGAGGCTTAATGACTTGTGCCTAGCCAAATTCAAGAAATTATTAAAAATTTCTTTTCTAGATCATTTCTTCTATTTCTACCTCATCGTGAATGATTTATAATTGGTTATTCACTCTTTAACTTTGGAAGCTTTATTTGGATTGATCAGATAATGAAGTTTTCCAAAGAGGCTACAATTTTTTACCGAGATTTCCACCAATTGAACACTCAAAGTAAGTATACTAGAAATGAAATTCTGAAGCAAACAATTCTATCAGCATCAGTTTAACAGTACCAAAGAGCCAAAATACCTTGCACAGCGCTTAAAAAGGAAAAAAAAAATCCTGCAGAGAGATCTAAGGAGATCATAAATCCATTTCAAAATTTATCTTCCATATTCTAATTTCTGAAGAAGTATATTCATCATATAATATCTCTGTAGTCATTTTTATTAAACTCAAAGTATAATGAACTCGTTCCTCCGTTAGTTACTCCTATCCTGATTCACCAGAAAATGAACCCTAATTGATAAGGAAGGTTGGGAGAAAAACAAACCCAAAAAAACTTTCTCAGCTAGTTTTTACTCCTTTGGCATAGGTAACCCAGTAGTACTTAAGACGTCAAGGTATACTAACATAATAATATTCAGAAGATTTTAAAAAAAATGACTTTTGAGAAGATAGTTCATGAAGTTCCCTCTTAAGGGCACGCAATGCACTTTCTTTTGACTATTTATCCTGTTAAGTTGAAAGGTGAAGAATGAATATAAACACAGCAGCAGAAGAGCAACATTTGAAGCACAAGCCGCTTGCAAGTTTCAAAGGAAGAGGTGTGAGCATCTAAATGACCTCAAGAATGGAAAACAAAGAAGAGAGCACTGTGGCGTGGCATATTAAATTAAATCTTTATTCCGAGGGTCACATGTAATATCTACTCTCACATCTTAATGTAACATAACCTTCCATACAATCTAATTTAAAGCTGACAGACAAGTGAATGAGTGATTAACTCAAAAACCTTTCACGGATATGATCTATCCATTGATTCGAGAAAAATATAATACTTATAGGTAGCAAATTACCGTCTTGGGGCCTATTCCTTTAAAATTAGAGAGCTCTGCCTTGATTTCCTCAACAGACAAATCTCTTAGATACTCCAAGCACAATTTTCCTTTTTTCTCTATCAAGCATTTCAATATATTCTTTATACAAGAAGACTTTGTTGGTGCAAGACCTCCACATCTTATGGCATCCTCAATGCACCTGGACTCGGCTGCTAGAACCTAAGAAATTTATACAACCACGCACCCAGTACAATGTCAAGAGGAGTTCAAAATACAATTCATTCGAACCTTTAAATGCAAGAAAAAGTAAATGAAGTGACAAATTAGCCGATTCTAAAATATATGCATGATCATTCCAATCCTTCAAAAATCAGTCCAAGCCTAAATTGAATGTTCATACAAAATGAAATCACTTCAAGTGCATTGAAGCCTAATTTCCATGCTCCAATAATTCA